GTTGCTTCCGCTCTTTGAAAGCCTTGGCTTGCAAAGATATGTACTCTTGTGCTCACAGGTCAGGCAATGCAATACATATTTCCATCTGGGCAAAATCTGACGATGGTTCCTAAATATGAAAGAATCTAATCTATATACACATTCCACTGCTAATTTTCTGAGGTTTTATTTTCTGCAAAAATAACAACAACAACAACAGGTCCCTAACGGAGGATTCAGAGACAAACCCAGGAAGCCAAGAGACTTCTACCACACATGTTACTGCCTGAGCGGCATGTCGGTGGCTCAGCACGCGTGGTCAAAGGACACAGACACACCTCCCCTGCCTCAGGACATTATGGGAACCTACTCGAATCTCCTGGAGCCTGTCCACATCCTCTACAACGTTGTCATGGATCGCTATCACGAAGCCGCTGAGTTCTTCTCAATACCATGAACCTGCAATCAAAAAAAGTTCATACAATCTAATACTCCACATTGGCATGCGGGCGGTATAATGTCTTGTACCATAATATGATGATGAGGGTAAGTTACGTTACGTTTTACCGCGAAACAATGTTATAATCAGGGATCAAAACAAAACTGTGACTGCAATTACAGTTGGAAAAAAAACTCATGTTCACTTTTAGGCATTCCAAAAGATTGGGGAATTGTATTAATATTGGTTGCAATTACAATGACATTGTTCATTGCCATTACGTTTAGAAAGAATCATCATGTCATCTTTTAGGCATTATCAGAGGCGATTGCCTATGCATTGATCCTAACAAAGGTGATTGTACCAAGTTGTCTTTTTTCTGTGAATTTTCAGACATCCTTCTTGTTGCTTCCAAAGTTTCACGAGAGTATGATGTGTCCTTTTTTAAACCTAATTCTGGGGGGTTAACTACACCTTTCAAAAGGTTGGGTTAGAAATAAAAGACATCGAAACATCTGGTGCCTTTTCTGCTAATTATTTTGTTTCCCAGTTTTCAAAGTTTTGTCTCTTTTCGTCTTCTTCCCCATTGACTACGTAGACGCCTTGATCACTTCCTCTGATTTAAAAAAAAAAAACAGAATAAAGAAACTCAAGAGAGCGAAAATGGAAGAACAGAAGAAGCAACAACAATACAAGGGACAACAACGAGATCTGTATTCTCGTTCTCCACCGCCATCGTCTCCGTCTCCGTCGATGTCACCGCTGCATCACGACGTGTCCTCTCGATCATCGGCGCCACCATTACCGCCACCGTCGCAATCTCTTCCTGATTCGCCCACCGTCTCCTCGATCCCCGACAGCCATGGATCCTCACCTCACACGGTCTTCCCCACGCCGCCTCTCGCCGTCGCGACTCCGTCGCAGGTTTCGTCCGTCGCGACGACGAAGGCCGAGACTCCGTTCAGAGTCACCAGCGGGATAGCTAACGGAGACGCTCAGGAGCAGAAGCTCGGGGAGAGCAGGCGGAGACTGAGGCCGGACTTGTCTTCGCTGCGGGAATCGAGGAAGGGGGCTTTGGTTCGGAAGGCCTTGCTCGGATTTAGGGTATCTGCATTCGTGTTCTGTCTCGTGTCGTTCTCTATCATGGTCGCCGACAGAGATCAGGGATGGGCTCGTGATTCCTTTTACAAATACAAAGAGTTCAGGTGAATTTATTGCCTTCCCAGTTTTACAATACACTGAAGTGGAAGTATCTGAAAATTCTTTGAAGAAGAATCAACGCTTCCGAGTCATATGATTTAGGGAATCTTGGGTTTTACTGGAATCTGAACTCTGTTACAGTGGTGATACGTCTAAGACAAAGATCATTAGGTTCGGTTTCCATTTGAGATCAGTGTTTTGGCGGTTGATTACTTTGGCTCGGTGGATCTCTCTGTTGAATTTGAAGTTTCTTCATGAAGTTACCATTTTGCTAATAAAGTTTTTCAACTGCTTATGTTATTGAGCCTGGAATTCTTGTCAAATTTGGTTGAGACAGTTGGCTGTAAACAGGATCATACTAAGGGATTCTTGTTCTTCTTTCATTTTAGAAATCAAAGGATTAAATATTAGTTGAATCTGTTTAGGTCAACTTCTTTTCTTGCATTGATGATTTTGTGTTTGGAATTTTGGTTGCAGGTACTGTATGGCTGCGAATGTGATTGGTTTTATCTATTCAGGTTTCCAGATATGTGACCTATTGTACCTATTATCCACCAACATTCGTAGATCGCGGCACAATCTCCGGCATTTCTTGGACTTTGCTCTTGATCAGGTATGCTTCTTCTGCCATTCTTTCTGAAGGTTCGTCGTTTTGGATCGGAATAAGTATTAACCTGACAGCTTTCAATATCAGAAATCTCTAAGCTTGAAACTTGACTTGATGGGTTTAGTGAGATTGTTTCATTCAATCATTTTGAGTTGCTTCGAACCCAATTCAAAAAACCGACACCGTATATCCTGATTTGATCCTCTTGTTTGAGTGTTGTAAGTACTCTTCTGTTTCCATTACTTTCTATTTTTCTGTCCAAAAAACACATTACCAACGAATACGATTCCGTGATATTTGAAAACCTCAAGTATCTACCTTGAGAGGCTCAACCGATGTCTTGTGCTCCTAAAAATTCCGAAATTGTGTTATACCTGAGAAATTAATTAGGCATCTGAGCTAAGGTAAGGTTAAATATGAAAATAGATTTCATTCCAATAAATTTTCATGATTCCTATGTACATTAAAAACTTTGGTGGGCAAGCTCTGTTTGCGGCATCACTGCCGGGACCATATATCTTTAATAAATGTATAAAGGCTTTTGGTGAGTGTATGTATGGGGCTAATCGCTTGTATTATGCCGTCTTTGATGATTCGCCTTTTGGACTTTAAAAAAAACTTCAAAAGTAATTTTCTCGGACTTCCTTTCCTTTTCTTGACAGCAATTTCTACGTTTTAATGCATCCTTTTTCATTTCATCTGTCCTTTGTTTCAAAAATTCTTTATTCTCGTGGTTATTTTCACATTTTGCTATCAATGCTTCATTTCTGCACAAGGAAATTTGGAGGAACCTGGCTTTTTCTCCCATCTCCTCCAAGTTGGGTTTCAACTTGTCAAATATTCTACCACTGTCCTTTGATTATTTTCCCATGTTGTTATGTTCCTGTATTTGTCACAACCACAAGTTGTATGCTAATTCCTTTTTTATTTCTTTCTTTTTGTACACTGGACGTTGCAGATGATTGCTTATCTTCTTGCATCCGCTTCAACTTCGGCTTCTGTCCGAGTGGACGACTGGATATCAAACTGGGGAGCAGACAGATTCCCGAGCTTGGCGAGAGCTGCCTCTTCCCTGTCTTTTCTCTCCTTTGCATCTTTCGCCCTAATCTCGTTGGCTTCGGGTTATGCCCTCTGCACTCTCAGGTCCATCTAAACAATATCCACCATTCCTCTGTTTCTCATGACGACATTGTTACACGCTCTATGTAGTTGTAATTATCTCTTCTCTTCTTGATCATTGGAGACAGACAGAACCCTCTTTCTAAGTTGGAGGGTTAGTCAGGCCGTGTGGAATATATTCTCTGTCTGTCTCTCTGTACATTGGATTCTTATTATATCACCTTATCTACACTCGTGACAAAAAGCTAAACGATGGCATCTTCGTATATCCAGACTTTTTGCTTTAGATACCTAACTTGAGATTCTTAATTTATAAAATATTTTTTTTATAAATTTTATAAAAATCCAAATAAATTTGCCATCCTTAAAAATTATAATAAATTTAAAATTGCCCCTAAATATAATTTTTTTAAGATCCGCCCATGTATGTATAGATTACTTACATCCTAGTACTCGAGAATAAGGGATTTGCGTTTATAAACGAGGGAAAATGTTTCGATCTTGTAAAATATACTCTTGGGAAATATATTTAATCTCAAATAAATAGATAAAATGATGTTTATTATGTAACGAAATAGCATAAATATTATGGGTGCTGCAAGCTTACAAGGCAAATATACTCTAGTAGTCGCGAATAGAACCAGTAATGCAACACAATGGACACACACATACATAAACATAACATCGTTATTTGTTCTTGATCATGGTTACTAGCATATATAAACCCCAAAAAAAAATATGATGATTAACCCTTGCCTTCTTCTTTTCCTCGGAGATAAGTACCGAAAACTTCCAAATTATGCAACCGAGTCCAAGCACCAGCAGTAGAAGTCGGACCGAGAAATGGCCAGCATTTCCTCGGGCGACATCCTCTCGAGCTCGTTCTGCCTCCACGTCGCGAAATTGTTGCGGTTTTGAGCATCTGAGGCCAAAGGGCAAGTCTCGATCTTGTGTCTCTGAGATCTCATTCTCATGTAAAGCCTCATCGTCGCAACACAATCTTCGTAAGGCTCTTGTATGCCCACATGAATGTCATACCTTTTAAACATGTCAATAATATATTGTACTTTAGTACAATAACATTTAAATTACATTATATATATGAAAAGATCAGGCTAGGTTACGATGTTAGAATAAAAATAGGACTTATTATTATAAAGGGCTTTTTGTGAACATATATATATATATATGCTGTCTCACTCAATTGCCTATGATACACTAAAAAGCCTTGAAAAGCCTTCGGATATATATTATTCTGTTAATCATATTGTTCTCACTGTTGAAAAGATTTACTTGCTATTACCACGAAATTAATGAAATATACTTTGTTATTTAGATATAAATTAGTCCATATTCCCGCTGACAGATAAATAAAATAATAAAATAGGTTTATCCTAAGTTTTATTCGGAAAAAAAACATACCCTTTAGCCGGTTTTTATATATGAGAATAATCTTTTTTATCATGTCAAAAACTGCATTGGATACCCAATCTACTTGTATTAATTTGTCTGAAATGGCATTCCAGAAAATCATACAAATGTATATGTACATGCATGCATGTGGGTTTGTGTGTACATATATATGTATCGAATAAGTAACAGTTAGGGAGAAGATTTAAGGCCGCAAAAGACAGTATCTGTGCCGAGGAATAAAACCAAAGATTTGAGGCCTAGTTGGAAAACTATTAATGGATGCTATTATATATATATATATATATATATATTATATATATACATGTCTTTATAAATTCATCCATATATATATGTATATGTTGTATAAGAGGTGGTTATTACCCGAGATAGGCTTGGGTCAAGTACTTGAGAGAGTTGCTAAGCTTGCTTGTTTTCATCAACGGAGGGTATTTAGCCGTGTCCCTTCAAGAAACGAATTTGAAACATTACAACAACAAAAAACCACAAAATATTTAACTATTCAAGAGTAATGTAATATATAGCCGATGAAAAAAAAACAAGATCGTATCTAGAAATCTTCCTTTCCCTTCCTTTTTTTTTTCCTTTTCTTTATTGTTATATCTTTTGAAATTACCTTATCATAGATGATGGATATTCAAGTTGGAGGCGGTCAAGATCATGATCGAGGCCATGTCCCACGAGAATCCTCGCTTTTCCACCTCTTGGGCGAATCTTCCACATGGGTTCTCCGTTGCACAAGAAATCTTGAATCTTTCTCTGCACCTGCTTCAACGGCATTGCCTCTCTCAGATTCTCCGGGCGTATTCCCGTCGTCTCGTAACGGTAGCTGGTCACCGGGATCGGGGGCTTGACGTAGGTGTGGAATATTATATTGTCATTCTCATCGGTTATGCACACCTTCGCACACAGGTCGAGCGATCCGTCACTGCCTCCTCCAACCATCTTGCACGAAAGTGCAACCACCCGGGCCGATCTTGACGACGTATAGTCGATCGTAGGATTGTCTCTTAGGCCTAAAGTCGCCATACGGGTGGTTAATCCCTGAAATTTATGGAGACATATATATGGTGTTATTTATGATATATATTGGTATGTATTGATATAAATATTTAATAACCAATGGTTAAGTTTGGTATAGTTTATTACCGAGTTGACATTGGATAGTCCGCATCTCTCTTGATGGAGCCGACGAGCGTTCGAGCTTTCAAGGATCATCAAGCAGAATTTGCATCCACGAACACTGAAAATGTTCCTGCATTCTTGTTTTGGCAGTGGCCCTATATATACAGCAACATCCATGTAAGCATGGCACATAATTATACATGTGTATATACACATATTAAGAAATATTGGAATTAATCTACAATACAAATTTAATATATATATATATATTGTGTATATAGAGGTTACCTATAAGGTGCTCCCTGAGGGACTCAAAGGAGCGGCAATGTTTCTTGCAGATACCGCAAGTGGGCTCATGAACTGAATGAAATGAAATCCTCATGTGCTCAACGAGGTGTTCCATCTTGTTGAATTGCCTAAAACACGCCGCACACTTGTTCCTATACAAATTAATAATAACAATATTATTTTCACAATTTCATGTACATACACGATCATCAAACTCCACTGTTTTTTTTTTCTTTAGACATTAAAATGTGTTATTGAAAATGAGATCGTGAATCATAATTAATATCATAAAATATCTCATTGGGAATCGAGTTCGATCTTAGATCCCTTTTTGAATCAGTGAGTGTGCAAATCTGATCGATCTTCTATTTTTAGACAAAGGTTTGCTATATATGGAAGAACAAGAGTACAAGCATAGACATGACAACATCGTCAAGGAATCTTTGATGTTTAAGTTTGGCAAGAATATAATTTTCTCTTTGACCCAATTCAAGAATGCTAATTTCTTTTTATAATTAGTATTTTTGGTGAATAATTATGCATCATGTGTTTCCATGAATTTTTTTTCAAAAAACCCCTTGCATATATATAGTATTTGAGCATATATAACGTTTAGTTCTACAAATAGCTAGAGGGATAGTCATGAAAAGAAGAAGAAACCCTGATTCCGAATATAAAAAGAGAGAAATATCCAAAAGAGAAGAAACCCTAGTTAGTTCCAAATATATAAGAGACAAATCCCCCAAGAATTTAAAACCTATACAACATATATATAACAGTACCTTAGAGTTTCCGAAGATTCAACAGAGGACCTGTAATCCATGATAATTGAGCAACCTAGAGTAAATAGGTAAACAAAGGCTGCTCTCTTGATTATATATTATGGACCGACCGATGTATGAAGAATGGGAAGATGAGAGGATGCATTTATATAGGCAAGAGGAATAAAGCTATAGAAAAAGGCAATGTGAGATGAAGATGATTCCCCTCACCATTCCCACACACACTATTCCGTTAGAGCTTTCTAGGGTTACTATAAAATGACAAACACATAACTTGATGCCTCGTGGGTCCTACCCGACATGTAGATCAAGTAATCGCATCTTGGATGATTATTGAAAATGCGATATAAGTGTGTGAATTAGCATATAGTAACCCTATAATGGTATGTTTTTTTTTTCTACAAAAATATTCCTATATAGTTCTATAGATATGCAAGGAAGAACTATGCAATATCAGCTACTAATGTCCTCAAATATGAAAATCCAGCATTAACAATATGTGATAACGAACCTTCCCATTGGACCGAATAATTTTTTAAAAACGGGGTTCTTAATCATATGTCATTTGTTGTTGATAGCATCACTTGATGAATACTCCCGTTAAAATAAATTAGTTTTTACTTCAAAAAAGATGAAAAGAAAACTTAGCGTAATCTCATTATTCATTGTCGTCCTTTTGATTTTTTTTTTATAATATGTGATTTGTCAAGAGTGGGGTTCGAACCTGGGTGGAGCATTCTTTGCGCATACCCACTTACCAGTTGAGTCAACCACCCTTGTCCTTTTGATTTTAAGTTTGAGGATAAGATTTTATCACTCTACTTTTTCGGTGAGGGGGCATATTTGCACCAGTGCTCAAAGGGTAAGGCTAAAAGCTTATCTTATATATGCATATTTAAAGTTCGTGCCTATATATGTCCATATAACGTAATCAGAGTCTATTAGAAAGAATTTACTCGTAAATATTTTAAATACATGTAATCTAAATATTGTTTATAATAAAAAGGTTCGAAATTTCGAGTATATGGTTGGGTGGGATATACTAAAGCTTTGACATCTCTTGGAAGATATGTGCATGGGAAAGATCGGCCTTCTTTTTGACTGGGGGTTGTGGGGCCAAGTCAAGATTCTAGTACTTTATATAGTGCAAGAGTGGTGTAAAATTTTCGTACGACAAAAGCATCGATATTCACGAAGCAAAATTCCGTAATGGTCCATTATATAGTATATACATATATATATAGGTATGTATGTATGTATATTCAAGAGAGAGAGAGAGATGTATATGCTTGATTTACACGTAGACTTATGCATGCATTTATAGGAATATAAGCTTATAAATAATTTATTTTGTATCCAGCCTATGCATACGCGATACGTGTGTCCGAATGAATATACATAACCAAAGCCGTATATGCGAACGTGTATGATTGGTCGGTCCATGCACGTATGTGAGGTGGAAAAACGCTTATTCCCCATACTCGGAATCCTTTTTTGTTTTGTTTCATGACTGAATATATTTCATAGACTACCCTAAAAAATTATTATCTACTAAAATTTTAATTTAAAGCTAAAAATTAAAAAAACAATATCTTATATAGAGATTTATAGTTTTTATCTTCGCCCACATTGCGTCTTAGAAGAAAGTTATGAAAAGGAAAATCATTAAGAAGCGAGAGAGATATACGGCGAAGGAGACATGTCACATTGGATTGGTCGAGGGGGCATTATGGGACGTTCAAACTTCTTCTATTCCAATTGGTACTTGTCCTTTTTTTTAAATTGAAAATAAGGAAAATAAGAAATTTAGGAAAATTAGAGGAAATTTGTTTATTTATTTCAAGGAAAAAAAAGGAGGAAAAGGTTGAGCTTTAAGGGAATCTTGAAGAAGAGATAGAGAGATGCTCTTTTGACCAAGAAAAAAAAATGAGGCTCTTTTGACCAACAAAAATCACGAGGCTTTTCAGATTTCTATCCATTCATATCTCATTTTTAAAAAAAAAATTTTAAAATTTTTTAGTTGCCATGAATTTTATTATATGTTGTTAATTTACATAAACAATATAAAATTAAAGAGTTTGGATTATGAGATATTCAAGTAATGCAGGTAATTTATAAAAGAACTTTTTGGTTGGTGCAAAGTTTGCTTTCCGAATGACTCGGAATAGAAATGATGGTTCAGCTATATAATTATATAGTATGTGTTTAATTATATAGTATGCGTTTGTAATGAACTAATTAGATAAAATGGAGAGAGAATAAACATCAATGATTAGATAAGGAATATACTTTAAAAAAAATTAAATGTAAAAAAAAAGAAAAGAAAAGCGCGTATAATAGAGTAGGAGGAGTAAAACCCTAAAAAAACCTCTAACTTGCAAAAATATATACAAATAAACCTTCAACTTGAAAAACTATCATTCAATCCCCGAACTTGTAACTTGTCACCAAATAAAACTTCGAACTTGCAAATTATTGCTCTAATAAACCTTTGACCGGTTTGACCACAATTTCAGGTGATCAGAAATCCACATATTATCGGATTGTTGATGTCACCTTATACACGTTATCAATTTTAATTTAAAAAATGACATCAGCAATCCGTCAATACGTGGATTTCCGATCATTTGAAATTGTGGTCAAACCGGTTAAAGGTTTATTAGAACAATAATTTGCAGTGACAAGTTATAAGTTCGAGGATTGAACGACAATTTTTCAAATTGAAGGTTTATTTGTATATATTTTTGCAAGTTGGAGGTTTTTTAGGGGTTTTATCCTTTGATTAATGATTAGAACGGTAGATATATAAAATATATTTTTTATTTATATCTAACCTAATATACAAAATAAAAATTACTTCATCTCATTCTAAACAAATTATAAAATTGTCAATATATGATAAATTAGCCAAAAACTTCATAATTACACAACAAATTCGACGGCGAAAGAGTTCCCCGAATTCGGCACCGCCCATTATTGATAATATTTCTTTTTCATTGATTGGGAATTATTGATAATGAAATATTATATAATAGTTTCCTGAAAAAAAAGTATTAGAAAAATATATGATGTAAGAAAACAAAAATAAAAATAAAAAGTGGTTAGCCCTTACAAATCATAAACAAGCGTGTGGGTTGTCTTGTCTCTTTTGTGAACCCAAAGTGATGCATCCAATGGACCGACCGACCAAAAATCCAAAGATTATTTAAATTGAACTATATGACACCGAATGGAGATTAACATTTTTACAATCGATGATATATACGAAAAAACAATCCAAATATTGTTTCAAGAGTTTTAGCTTATTGAGAAGCCATTGAAAAAATTAGATTCTTATAATCTAAAATATCTGATTTTTTGTGTATATATATTTGGATTTTTATGCTCAAGTTCTAATAATTTTTATTTTTTAGAAACATATAATATTTCAATTAACAAATTTTTATTCCTATAAAATATGAAATTTTACTAGGATTACAACTATACGATTACTAATTATCATGATGTTATCATTTGTAATTATATATCATCCAATAAACTCTTTAAAATATGTAAGACAGCAAGAGCCTAAGAGATCTCGGATTTAATAATCAATTTAAATAATAATATAGTTTTTTAAAGCACAAATTAATTCCGAAAAGAATATTATTATTGCGTATCTGCAACCGTCCACTACAAAATTTTCGGCGTGAATGTCAATCATACAGGATCTTTATTAGGAAATAAATTAATTGTAATATTTTGTGAAGGCCCCACAATGTGGGCCCAAGAATCCATGATGGGCTCATTTGTTGGGCTTGGAAATGGACCACTTTGGACAACCTGCAATCTAGCTGGCGTGTAGTCTACGTGGCACCTCATTAATACTAAAATTTATTGTAATGTCTTCACGACATGACATAGTACGGTATATAAACTCTCACTTTTTCCTTGGAGCTCAATTTTTTTTTTTAAAGAATACATTATCCAAACAGACGAAATTAATAAATTCTCGTCATTAAAATAATAACGGGCATCATGGGTTAATAATAATAATAATATAATGAATTTTTTATAAACAGCCAAACTAATCCACCAATCGTCACTCAATATATATACATATGGGCGTGAATTTTATTTTGGAGAATGAGGTGCGACACGTGGCGAGCAGAGGAGCTTTCTTGACAGCTGGAAATTCGAAGAGGTGACGTGACTTTCAATTTTCCAAATTTCAAAATAATCGTTAAACGTTCCAGATAAGCATTAATTGGAATTCCTCGTTCGGACATCACTCCCAAAATCGAATTTCAAGGGAAATTTTATAAAATACAAAATCTTAAAAACTAAGAAATAGTTTTTTCGAGTATAAAAATAATTAAAAAACCGTGAGAAAAAGAGAAATGGAGCGAGTAGGGGAGAAGTCACCTTCTTCGTTGCTTCAACAATCCATCTTCTTTTACACTTCTTTCCTCAAAACTCAATGTAACGTTTACTGCCTATATTTTAATATACTTTATAGCCCCTATATGTATATATATATATATATATATAATTTTTTATAGACTGTGGTTGGTACAGAGTTTCTAAATTTTGAAACTTCGGATATTATACATATTTTATACGCCGCCTAATATATGATTTATAAATCAAGTATGTAGATCATTTTCTTTTCAACAGAATATGTTCTGTGTATGTTTTGGAGAGAATATGAATCGTTCATTCATTTGAGATTGAACATGGCATACATACATACATAAATGTATATACAAATATTAGGTGAAGATAATAAACAATATGCATTTTTTTTTCCAAATAGGACAATAGAGGGTTGTGTGTACATGAATCAAAAATCATCCACGAATTTGTCAGCAGGCACGTTAGTTTCCTTTCTGTCTCTCTCTCTCTCTCATCTTCTTTGAGCCTCCCAATTTCTTATACAGACACAGTCACACATACACATATACACACATATATAGCATGTATATATATAGCCATGAAAAAGGCGTATATAAACATAAGTAAAAAAGAAAAAGAAACAAGAGTGACAAATACAGGGCACCAGCTCCTCCATCTTCAATATCTCTACACCTAAAGAGACACCCAGAGCATAAGCACAGAGATTTGTCCTTCTCTCTCCGTTTCTCTGTGTTTTTAACTTTCAAAGGTACGATTTTCACCCTTTTTTCCCGGTTAATTTCCATAAATTTTGCTCCTTTTCACGAAATTGATGTCTGGTTGTGATTTTTCCTGAGATGGGTGTCTCTGTTTTTGCGTTGATTTAGACATCTCTGGTTGATTGGCCATGGAAGCAGAGAACGGCGGGAAATTAGAAGAAGGTTCTGGAAACCACGTGTGGGGAGGAGAAGAGGGTCATGCCCATGAAGCCTCTCCGAGCAGTCCACTGAGTTCTCTGGATCTCGCCATTGACGGCGCCATGAACGCTTCGATCGAGCAGTTGTATCACAACGTGTGCGAGATGGAGAGCTCAGATGATCAGTCGCCGTCGAGGGCAAGTTACATATCGTACGGTGAGGAATCGCGAATCGACTTGGAGCTAAGGCATCTGGTAGGATACATCGGAGGAGAAGTTGCAGATAAAAAGAAAGAAGTTGTCTTGGAGAAGAAAGAAGAGGGCAGTGACAGTAAAAACAGAGGAACCTTGACTCACAAGAAACCAAGCGATCCCCCCTCCAACGGTAAGAAGTCTGCGAAAACGAGCCCTAGTCGAAAACTCTTGGGGTCGAGGCTCTTTCTGAAGAAAAACCAGGAATCTGTGAAGAATTCTGCGGAGACTGATGAGGAAAGTCCCGATCTTGGACCATCGTTGTTGAAACAAGCGAGAGAGATGGTTTCTTCGGGCGAGAATCTGAACAGAGCTCTCGATTTGGCGCTCAGAGCGGTGAAAACCTTCGAGAAATGCGCGGAAGGAGAAAAACCCGGGTTGGATTTGGTGATGTCTTTACATGTTTTGGCAGCCATATACGCTGGTTTAGGGAAATATGCAGAGTCAGTGCCAATTCTCGAGCGTTCCATCGAGATACCGATGATCGAAGATGGCGAGGATCACGCTCTGGCGAAATTCGCAGGTTGTATGCAGCTCGGCGACATGTACGGACTAATGGGTCAGATCGAGAACTCGATCCTGTTCTACACAGCCGGTCTGGAGATCCAAAGGCAGGTTCTTGGAGAATCAGATGCAAGAGTGGGGGAAACTTGCAGGTACTTAGCAGAAGCTCATGTTCAAGCAATGCAGTTCGAAGAAGCAGAGAGAATTTGTAGAATGGCGCTTGATATTCACAAAGAACAAGGGCCTCCACCTTCTGTGGAAGAAGCTGCCGACAGGAAACTGATGGGACTGATCTGCGACTCGAAGGGAGATTACGAGGCTGCCCTTGAGCATTACGTTCTGGCAAGCATGGCCATGTCTGCTCATAACCAGAGAGAAGATGTCGCTTCCATAGATTCCAGTATAGGAGACGCTTATATGTCTCTAGCTCGTTTCGATGAAGCCATTTTCGCATACCAGAAGGCATTAGCCGTTTTCAAACAGACAAAGGGAGAGACACATTCCTCTGTAGCATCTGTTTATGTCAGGTTGGCTGATCTGTACAACAAGATCGGAAAGCTTCGCGATTCCAAGTCGTACTGTCAAAACGCCCTCGGGATCTACCTGAAACCATCTCCAGGAACGCCGTTGGAGGAGATAGCAACTGGTTTCATCGAGATTTCTGCGATTTACCAGTCGATGAACGAGCTCGAAAAGGGTTTGAAGCTTCTGAGACGTGCCCTGAAGATATACGAGAACTCGCCTGGCCAACAGAACACCATTGCAGGGATCGAAGCTCAGATGGGTGTTATCTGTTACATGATGGGGAACTATCCTGAATCTTACACCATCTTCAAGAGCGCCATCTCGAAGTTTCGCAACAGCGGAGAGAAGAAAACGTCGCTTTTCGGGATCGCTTTGAACCAGATGGGACTCGCCTGCGTTCAGCGTTACGCCATTAACGAAGCAGCGGACTTGTTCGAAGAGGCGAAGAGCGTCCTCGAGAAGGAGTACGGTCCGTACCACCCGGATACCTTGGCAGTTTACAGCAATCTTGCCGGCACATACGATGCAATGGGCAGGTAAAACAAAAAATTTCGACTAGGGGCGAATGCTAAAACACGATAAGATAACTGCAGGTTTGCGATACCCACCTCACGGACTGGTATCCGCTGCCATACAAAATGACATTTATATCCCCTAGTATAAAGGGTATTTACTAGTATATTTTCGTAAAAATTACTATCATATCTCAGATCAATACAAATCTAGAGGTTTTGTGGGTTTGGGTATCTATATTAACAATTGTCAACTCCGGGTACCCGAATCTGGTGAAGTCGAGGTTGAGATATTTCGGTTATTGGTTTCTTGTGCTATAAGCGACGTGTTTTTTTTCGACAACAGATTAGATGATGCTATAGAGATACTGGAGTATGTTGTCGGAATGAGGGAGGAGAAACTCGGGACGGCAAATCCCGAGGTGGAAGACGAGAAGCGGCGGCTTGCGGCGCTGCTCAAAGAGGCCGGAAGAGCCCGGAGCCGCAGAAACAGAGCCCTTCTTACCCTGTTGGACAAAAACCCTGAAACTATACCAAACAAAGGACAGACGCCGGTTTACTAATAACCGGTTATAAATCCGGTTTACGTGTATATATACATACAAATCTGAATATACGCGGAAAAAAAAATACCATGTTTTCCCCCTTTATTCATATAGATGCAATGTAGTAATCTTGAACAACCTTTTTGTTGCGATGCTCTGTATACTTATGGGCGACTATAATAAAGAGAAACGGTTAGACCTCGTTTTCATTACATATTCATATATACATACTTATATATATATATCACATGCCATTGTCGATATAATAATTATATTCATTTTTGTCAAGAAAAGACAAAAGCTATTCATTTTTGGGGAAATTTTATGTTGTATCCTTTTGCGGTTTCATTTAATTAGAGAGAATATAAACAGTCTAAAATCCGTGACAATACGTAATATAGGCATATACATATACATATACATATATTATAAGCATATATACATGCATATTCTTTTAAATATCAAAGATGTTAAGGATAATTGGGTTTGGTCAAGTTGTCTGTATTTAATGATACGATAAAATTGTAACCTTTTGTTCGAGTGGACGTGGAGAACGAATTAATCACGCATATTAAACTAAATTAATTATGTATATTAAGCTAATTTAATTATTATTGTGTTCGTTTGGTAACTATGATGTAAAACGTTTTGATCATCATTGAAACTTAGATTCCATTATTAGGAAAATGTAGATACAAGGGGGAAAAGGAACAAGGAAATATAATAATAATTTTCGAGGGTGAAATTAGAAAATAAAATAAGAGAAAAATGAAATAAAACAAGCGCCACAATCCCATTGTCCGGAACAGCAGTGGCAATGACGACTAGCTGTCCGCTCCTTTCCACGGTCTTCCTCCACTCTCCTCTTTCCCCTCCATTTTCTCGCCTCCCAAACAGAATCTTCTCGGATTTTCCCTCCCGATCGTCCCCGTCCTTTCTCCCTCTCCACCTTATTCGTTCCAATCGCCGCTACCGAATCTTCTCGAAGCTTCGGCCACACGACGCCGGCGACGGTTATCCGCCGCCGCTCTCCGCCGGCGACTCGATCCTCCTCCTTTGCCACTCGGATTTTCCCTCCCGATCGTCCCCGTCCTTTCTCCCTCTCCACCTTATTCGTTCCAATCGCCGCTACCGAATCTTCTCGAAGCTTCGGCCACACGACGCCGGCGACGGTTATCCGCCGCCGCTCTCCGCCGTCGACTCGATCCTCCTCCTTTGCACCTCCGTCGCTCTGTCCTTCTCCCTCCTCTCCGCCCCTCCCGCCGACGCGTTCGTCGTCACGACGCCGCGGAAGCTTCAGTCCGATGAGCTCGCTACTGTTCGCTTGTTCCAGGAGAACACTCCCTCCGTCGTCTACATCACCAATCTCGCCGTTAGGTATGCACATATATCTATATCACTTATCTTCTTGGTTTGGCATGTCATCTGTGCGAATGATCTCTTCCATTTCCCGTTGCTTTCGACCTCGTCTATGTTCTACATATGTTTTAGGGTTCGAATTTGATTTCTAAGGTAAATCGGAAAATGTCGGGTGAATCTCGATGCTATAAATTATACCATGTTCATCGATTACGCATAATTTATCTGAATTTGATTCCCGAAACGTCTCTAATCCGTAGTTTTTGTGTTACGTTATGCACTTTTTTGGAGGCATTGTGTTCTTATCGATCTTATACAGAGTGGATACTTGTGTAATGTTATTCGTTTCCTGTGGATGAATTAGGCAGGATGCGTTCACTTTGGACGTGCTTGAGGTGCCACAGGGATCTGGTTCAGGATTCGTTTGGGATAAGGAAGGTCACATCGTTACCAATTATCATGTCATCCGCGGTGCTTCTGATCTCAGGTTGATTTGTTTGAGTTTCATACCCAAACCCATTCATCTGATTCGAATCCGGTTATTTGTGTTCTGTTGTCTCTTTCCGGCAGCATATTTCATCGTGGTAGTTTGAATCATTCTTGATTCAATTGTTTCTCGATATAGAAGCCCGGATAACCATTCAAGTGCATTTGTTCCTCGAATGGATTTGTGGTGACATCGTCGAAGAAAATAGAACATGACACGTTTAAGTGTGAGGTTTACAAGTCTTGCGAACAATGATTCTGAAATCTTGATGGCGGTTCATCTCAGATACTGCTACTAGAAGTTCCGGAATCTGTAATACTACTGCCTTGATTTTTGTACATGACTAAGAATAGTGCTGTCTTAACAGAGTCACTCTTGCTGATCAGTCAACATACGATGCAAAAGTTGTGGGATTTGACCAAGACAAGGATGTTGCTGTTTTGCGTATCGATGCACCCAAAGACAAGTTAAGACCAATACCTGTCGGAATCTCAGCAGACTTGCTTGTTGGTCAGAAAGTCTTTGCCATCGGCAACCCTGTATGTATATGTCCTTCATGATCTTGTCAGCTGTCTCCTGTCTGTTGTCGGGTCCTTAGCCCTGTTTCTAACGCTTGTTCTGAGCTAGACCTTTTGTTCGTTACAGTTCGGACTGGATCACACTCTTACCACTGGTGTTATAAGGTAGACAAAACGCAGCATGTATCATCTTGTCAATTCATTTTAGTTGCATTCCCTTAACTACTTCTGCTGTTTGGTTCTATCCGTGGGACAAACAGATGAATGCTAATGAATATACATATTCCATTTCCGGCTTTTCACACCCAACGCTATACTTATAATTGCATGTCTGGTTCTATGAGCAGTGGGTTACGAAGAGAAATTAGTTCTGCTGCCACGGGTCGTCCAATTCAAGATGTGATACAGACAGATGCAGCCATTAACCCTGGAAACAGCGGAGGACCGCTTCTAGATAGTTCAGGAAACCTCATCGGCATTAACACCGCCATATATTCTCCTTCCGGGGCATCTTCTGGAGTAGGCTTTTCTATCCCAGTTGATACCGTGAGTGTTTCTTTTCGGTTTCAAGGGCCATCTCAGGCAGAAGAACTCGGCACTCCTACCCTACTTTAGAGAATTCTAATGGAGATGTTGTTTATATGCATCATCCAGGTTGGTGGAATTGTCGATCAGCTGGTGAAATTTGGAAAAGTCACCAGACCGATCTTAGGTATCAAATTTGCACCCGACCAATCGGTTGAACAATTGGGAGTGAGTGGTGTGCTTGTCTTGGACGCTCCTCCAAATGGCCCTGCCGGCAAAGCAGTAAATCTTCTCATCCCCTTTTCCTTCCATCAAAATTTTCATCTGCTTCCAATAATTAGTGAATCTCTTATAACGTTATGTTCCAGTGAATCTCTTATTCCTCGCTTCAAATCATCGATAGGTAAAACTATTGAAAAATGCAATGGTGGGCGAATTTGCTTTTGATGAAGAGATAAAATAGAAGTTCGTTTCGTATGATGGGTTTGTTCTGCAGGGGCTTCAGCCTACCAAACGTGATTCCTACGGGAGACTCATTCTCGGAGACATAATCACGTCCGTGAACGGTAAGAAAGTCTCTAACGGGAGCGATCTATACCGGATTCTTGATCAGTGCCAAGTCGGCGACAAGGTAAAACGCCGAATTCAAACCCATTTTTTGCTGTGTCCTTGCAACGTTTTCACGACAGAAGTTCGAAATTTCTGTTGAAAGGTTGGTCGGTTTTTCAGGTGATCGTTGAGGTTCTACGAGGCGATCAGAAGGAGAAGATCCCAGTAGTTCTCGAACCCAAGCCGGACGAGTCATAGTTTGCACGTACATTTTTTTTTGTACATCTTATTGTTGGGTATTAGATCGTGGAATTGTGTACACAACCCAATATCTTTAGCTTTTGAGTTGGGATGATTTGTATATGCAACAACTGATGTCTGGTTTCTCTTGGTTTTTGAGTTCCGGTTTAGATTGTATTAAGAGGACCGGGACTTGGAAAAGGAACCGGAGAAAACCGGACCGCAGAAGTTTGGTTTTGTCTAAACCCTTCTTTCCCAGCGTTATCTCATTGTGCTCTGTTCTGTCTGTGGCCGGATACGCGAATTAACTTTTATTTTTTAAAGGGCTTTATATTTTCAATTATAAAAACGTTTAATTCCATTTCGAGTAAAAGAATTCTGCTCAAAATCCATATAAATCGTCTTTTATCGAGTTGGGACAATTTTTTTTTATAAATCCCACGTTGGTTCATTATTGATATTTATGGTGACATATCCAATATAGGTAGCTGCTATGTTTTTTTAGTTATTAGAGAAATGTAAACGTTGAAAGTAAACTGGTTCTAGAAGAAATATGAAATTTGATAGGGAAAAAAAAAACGAAATGTGATTTCAATGTTGGGGAATCTAGAACAAGTCCCTTTCGTGCGAGTGGTGGTGACAATGAGATGGCATATCTAGAAGAAATTATGGATACAGGCTAAGGATATAAAATTATGATAATCAATTAGAATTATTTATACGTACCTGCGCGTGTAGGGGCCAATAATCGAAATAAATTGTCATTATCTATTGAATTTAATTAGCCATTTACTAAGAGAGTAGCAGTAGGTTCGGAGGGAGGCCGACAATTTTCCTCTATTTTCATAATTCAAATTTTAATGTTTTCTTCTTTTCATATTTATTACCATAACCTTTTGGGTCAATCTTCTTCTTCTTTCATTATTATTTTTTTATTTATATTTATAGAGGGATAAATGTGTATTTTTACACTTGTATTATTAGGTTAACCTACTTGTAAAAATACACATTTATCCCTCTGTAATATTTTCATAATAAATAGTATTATATGGCATGCTTAATAATTGAATCTATTTCTCAATATATTGATGAGTTTTTCTGCCTATAGTTCCTTTTAAAATATTTTTTTTATGTATGTAACGATGTCATGTATTCCCTGGTCTCACAAGATTTCTCCAAAGATTTTCAATGCTGTTATTTTCAAATGATGTGCATATGTATATGTAGTTTTTAAAATCGAAATGAAAAATTGCAATTGTTTTGTTTTAAGTCATTACATGATTTTATAATTCGAATTAATGGAACATCGATTTCACCATATATTAAAATCAATTCCAAACAGAAGACGAATGATTATATCGAGTAACTTTGTATGATATAGTTTATTTTAATTTCATGGTTGACATTTTATGCTTTTAGGATATTTTATATTTTTTTAACTATATCTTTTCCCTTAGATTTTTGTATGACTAATGGAACATTCTTTAGAGAAGAAAAATTATATGTTAAATGCTTTCACAGCAGAAATTATGTTTGAATGTAGCATTTTTCAAATTTTAGCAATAAAAAAATAAAAATAAATAAAATTAAAATTGACGGGAAAACAACACCAAAAAGTCAACTCAAATCGTGAGCTAAGAAATTAATTATGTATGTATATGTGAAACATATTTTCATGTTTTTTCTCTCTTGGGATGATCCATGTTTTCCTTACGGATGGTATTTAAGCGTTGACGACTCGTTTGCAGATGATTTTAATAAAGATTCTGTACATATTAATTAAATGATTCACTGTTTTTGTAATGCATTTTTCCCTCAATTTTATTTCGATTTATTTGTTATTACATTCATACTCCTTACTAAAACAAAACAAGACTTTGTATACAAGATATTCGTTTTCTTCCGAAAATATAAATTAGTAATTTAAATATCGGTGGTATTTGAATTCTCATTCCGTAGATTATTAGATTAAAATTAATCACTAGATCAAAACAATTTTTTTTTTTACTTCTCTCCATTTACAAACATTTTATGTCATAAGATTATTTTTTTCCAAATATCGACAGCAGTATAGTTTAAACATTGATATTATTAGTTGGAATGTTTTATCTCATTTTTATTGATCACTAGATAACGAATCGATCGAGTATAATTTTGATTTGATTTGTTAATATAGTCTTGTTGAATGAACATTTTACGGGGTTCCCATAACTGTTCACAGTCATTTATATAAACAGGAAAGTAAAAACCCTAAAATTCACAGACAATTTTAGGGTTTTTACTTTCCTGTTTATATTAATGACTGTGAACAGTTATGGGAACCTCATATGTCGTGACATCGGTCCATTTCAAAAATCAATTATAAGCCCTGTTGAAAATCTAAATTAAAAAAAAAAAAAGACATACACACATATACACGTATGTACTTACATATTTGTTTATATAAAGCGCGTGGGTTTATGACATTGAATAAGGTCTTTATTTGAGCGAACTGTCTTGGTAGACATTAGCTTGTTGAGCGGTTGACCATGCCTATCATATCTGGTTGGCTTTCTCAATTTTGTTTTTACAACATCATCGATCGCGTCAATATTATCGCATAAGGACATTTTTTTAATCGAATTTTATAGCTATTTGATATTGACATACATATAAATATATATATGTATGTAGATGCATCATGCATGTGTGTGTATGTATGTATGTCCGCATGCATGCATGCATGTATGTATGTATGATTTATCGGAATCCAACCAAAGACAAGACACTGAAGTTGGCAGTGATGCAGGCAAGCAATAGGACCTTCTATTCTTCGAATTTATAATAAATGCGATCTGCCCAAAATTCCAAGGGAATAATAATGCGTTAATCAATTTAGTTACTTTTTTTTTTTTTGGGGGTGAAGGGTTTTACTTTTGCCGCTCCCATTTTCTACTGAACTTGTTAGTTGGGATTATGTAACGTGTATGTGCATGCAGATTACACGTATCGCTACATTAATGAATTGTATATTTGTTTTATATTTATTTAAGACTCACCCATCACTCATTAAAAAAATAAAGTTACTAATCTACAAGTAAAAAAAAAATTTAACGAAAAGGAAATTACAATTATTTTTTTTACAAAGATACACAAAACAGTTTTATATTCATCATAGATTTATTGATATAGAATTTATTTAGTATCATATTAGCAAATACGTATATGTAATAATAATATCACTTTTATCCAAATAATACAATAAATAGACAAAACTCTTGCAAAAAGTTTAAGTTTCTAGACGAATGATATATTTTCATTCATTGGATTTAGTTTTTAGGTCCTCATATATGTACTCCTTACTGAGAATAACTTTACAATGCAAATTATCAATGATACTTTGTTATATATAAATACACATCGTGTATATGATGTAATTAAACCCGATATGCCCACATATTTCGGTAACGATGTTATAACTTTCCTTGGAGATTAACTTACGAGTTTCACTGAAAACACTATATAGATAATATACGTATAACATATATATATATACACACTTGACCGAGGTCGGAATCGGTGCTCATTTTCGAAATTATGAATGGACAGGACAAAAACAGCTACGTATATATGCTTATACATATATGCGTGCGTTCACACACGCATACATTAAATGTATGTCCTCGAATATAGACTTATATATATAACATAGTGAGGATCGTCTCAACATGAATCACTGACTCCCATACGGTTCTCTCTCTCTCTCTCTCTCTATATATATATATATATATATATATATATATATATATATAT